GGATGCACATTGAGGTGATACTCTTAAGTGAAATAAATAGGACACACATGTGTAAATACCAATAGTTTCTCTAGTGTGAGAGACTGAAAGTATAAATAAGGACTAAATGGTACAATAGGTAATGTGAAATAGGAAGAAAAGGGGCAAAGGGGAAGGGGCAGTGGGAGGGTAGGGGAAAGGATAGAAGGGAATGGGATTAATATGAGAAAATGAAAAAAAGGAAACAAAGTCTTTGTAAATAGGGAGGGATGGCAGGGTTGAAGGGAGGGCAGGGGAAGGGGGAAAAATAAGAACCAAGAGAGATTATGTAAAGGTACAAATTTCCAATGATGGATGTCATTATATTGTATACCTAAAATGTACCAATAAAATTAATTAAAAGAAAAAAGAATGTAGCCTAACTGTCTCAGATCACAGAACTTCTTCTATAATATAAAGAAATACCTCTTATGCCTCTGGGGGAATTAAAAAGTAGATAACAGATGATCCCTGTTCTAATAAAAAATATAACTCAAATATAGCATAAGGCAGGGTGTGATCCATGTCAGTGATAAGGAACAAAATACATGTCACGGAATTTCAGATATTACCTGTATAGTTTTCCTTTCCAAGTCACTGCAGTGGACCACTCAGATTTCTCAGTCATAGAACCGAGTTCACATTGTTCTTGACCCAGTCTTTATGACACATTCCTCAATTTTCCTGGAGAGCAGAAACAAAGTAAACCTAACAGCCATGCTGAAGAAAAGTCACACATGCCAAGCAAATGACACTGCAACTATTGCACCAGGTGTTCGCACCCCACCCCCACATCAGGAGCAGAGCCAAGCATGGCTCAGAATACCCTGGCTCATCTTTGCTGCAGGCTGATGGAAAGGGAAGCACTTGTTTTCACCAAGCATATTTCAAAAGGAGAGAATTGGTGCACCTGAGAGCTATAAAAAGGCACATCTGCCTGAAAACATCAAGGACCTGGAAAAAACAAGCCCTGAACTTCAATTTCCAATAAAAGTATTCTCTTCCTAACCCCCTGAAAATTCAAACTATCTGTACAATTCTTCCTAATGCCCTTACCTAATTATAAGCAAAGCAGTATACCCCAGTGAAACCCTGGTGACTCGTGCTTTGTACAGGCTCACATTTCCCTAGAAGTATCAATAGATATCCAACCGACACAGGATTTCATCACTGGCCATCTCAGTCCTTCTAAGGAGACTACAAAGGAGTATCAGAGGGAATTTGCACCCTCTAGACTTTGGAGAAAGATTTGAAAGAGTTTAGATTTTATCCCTTTGTATGAAGCCACTTAAGGCTTCTGAGCCATAAGATCAAGGTGTTTTAGTGAGATTAGTCCGGTGGCAATGTGCCCAAGTGGCTTGGTTGAAGTCCCTAAACAAATGGAGGCCACTGACATGAATCAAGCACTCAGAGCTCACTGTGTTATCAAATATACTAGAGATCAATAGAACATTCTCTGAGGCAGCACTTGTGATGATATTTAAGTCACCTGAGGTAAGTGCTCACTGTTACAGGACACAGGATATCCTCATACTCATTTGCCATAATAGTCCAGAGACCACATTGTTCTCACTGGATCCACAAATGGCCAGATGAGAACAGCTGTCCATGCCCATGTGGCTGCTATTTCCAGGCAAACTTTCTAGAAAGAGGGCTGTCATTTTTTCCTAAAGATTTCCAGGGAAAGAGGTTTGGTGCCTTTGATAAGTGTCGAGGTTTTATAAGGATTTGTATCCTTCTCACCTCTCAGCTACAAACCAGCCTCTTTTCTATCCAGAGCAGAGAAGGAAGAGCTGATCCCATTCCTCCCTATACAGAGACATCTGAGACCCAGTGTGATTTGGGCCACATTCATGTACTTGTTCCAAGGACCCTTATGTATAACCGTAACCTTTGTAAAGGCTTTTGTTAAATTACTCCATCAGTCCAATAGATAATAATAGCAACACAGGAGCCAGTCCCAGCACCCAGAAGGAAGCTCCCCCACCTCCATCCCAGGCTCCTAGGGCAGAGAAGGTGAGCCAGTCCCAGGACCCGGAAGGAAGCTCCCCCACCTCCATCCCAAGTTCCTAGGGCAGGGAAGATGAGCCACGTGGGCACCAGAAGCAACCCCCCTCCCCGTGGAAATGAGAAAACACATAAACAAGCCTCAAAAACAGAGTTCCAGAACTCCTACAGCAACCCCAAAGGGAAACGAGATGGAACAATCTGATACTCAACCACCTGGACTCTATGAACTGGCAACAAAAGAGGATCTGGGAAAAATGAAATCAGAAATAATTACTCAGATAACAGCAAAGA